TCGACAATATGAGTTTTTGCTGGCTGTAGCAGCGCTATAGCGCTGCTATAGCGCTGCACAGCAAAAGCGCATAAAAACAGCTATGAAACGGCCGTTTTTCTGAGAACTCTGAATTCTAAGAACTCAGCCACTAGCCATTCATGCCCTTCAACATTTCACCGCCCTCGACTTCAATACTCAAGAACCAGTCTGAGATTCTGTCTGCTCTAACATTTATGGAGCAAGCTGTACAGATCACAGCTTAAAAGATGATGGCCAGGCATCAAGCAGTAACATACCTGACCACTCAGGATAAAGCCTTATCAAGAAGGAAGTAGCTCCCTCAGCCTTTTGCACACAAGTAGCTCCCGCAGCCTTTTGCACATCTATTTGTTTTTAAACTGCGAGTCGTTCAGCTCTGTTTTGTGGAGTTTTGGTTTCCTAGAACCTACCGATTTTCCCTCCTCTTTTAGCTTCTTATTTATTCCCTTTTCGTATGATTGATATTATGTTACGTGGTTTAAAATGATTAATACTTGCTTAAAATACACACATATGCATGCATAAGAGTCTAGGCTCTGCGTATTAAGGTCGCGCTAGAACATTATTTTGTGTAAGCGGGCGAAAAAGCAAAGCAATTTGCCGATTCGGAATAAAGTGAGCAAAAATCTCAGGTTTTATTGATAAACAATGCCAGAAGATCGGCAAATAAACACGCCGCATTAAGACTTCACAGCCTTTATTACATTAGCATCAACGAAAAAGATACCAAAGACTTACAATGGTGCGGGCGATATCCCACAGAAATTCAGTCGGAGCATCCGTTTTTACAGCTTTTGAATTACAGTGCGAAATGGAGCAACGATACCCAGCATTCAAAATTGCCGATCGAAAATCAACCGCCTTTGGAACCGGGGATTTGACGACTTTCATCAGCTGATCAAATTCATAATACAGTGGGATATCCGGTAGTTCCTGAACATGCAAAATATTTTTTTCTTTCTCTGCTCAAAAAATCTCTCGTATTTTCCGTCTCGCTACTTTTAGTATTTTTCATTCCCCTCTCTTGTGGATTTCTTTCGTTTGCAAAGTTTACGACTTTATACCGTTTTAATTTTTCCCTGAGCATAATTTATCGCTTTCAAGTTAATCCAAATTTTATTTGGCTGAACCATGCGCTTTCCCGGTTAATTTTGCCTGAA